CTCGCAGTCCTGCAGCGGGATCTTGACCTGAAACAGCACCAGTGTTGAGAACTTCAGCCAGCGTTCGAGTACATGTTTCTTGTTGGGAAGAATATGTCTGTGGCCTGGCTCGAGGTGAACAGCGAAAACCCGCGACACTAAGCCCTCCTCGAGCACAGCATGGTGTGCCTCCGTCGTCCTTTGGGCTGCTGTCTATGGCTTCTTGCTCTTGGAGAACTCCGTGAAGGGAGAAGTGCACCATCGCCTTCGCAACCTGATTGGACAGAAGCTGGAGACCAAGATGCGAAGACTTGGAACGAACAAGCCTCCATCTCTGTCAATGAGTATGCCAGGGGTGAGTTCTAATGGACAAGCCCCCTCTTCTTCGTCTCTGCCTACAAGTGGGTCGACTGCCTCATCTTCAAACATGCCGTCGAGCTCGTCTTCTTCGTCTATGCGCCCGTGGACCTATGAGGAGATCATGCTCTACCAGGCCGCAGCGTGGGATGATGGAACGTGGTCGAGCAAGGTGGAAGATGATACTAAGGATGCTCAAGATGGATATGCTTCGACTGCCGGACACCCCCTGACCACGAAGTGGGACGAGAACATCAGTCTGGCACTACAACAACCTGAAGGTCCTCCAGCCTCTGCCCGAGAAGTTCAACTACATGAATGGTGGTCCACGAACCCTCATGAGATGCCACTCCCTTTTCAGCACTTGGCAATGGAGGAGTCGGTGCAAACAACGGATGCAAATGAGAGTGAGGGCCACCATACCGTAAATCATGGGTGCGCAGCATGGTGGGAACAAGTACGAGATCGACGAAACCTTCGTGGAGCACACAAAGAACGCGATATACCAGCAGGCACAGGATCTTCCAGTTCCGCCACTTCCTGGTCTCGGGCATGCACCAGTACCTCGAGCTCGTCATCCTCCGTATCGGTGTTGGGTATACGGGGCACATCACAGGAGCAGGCATCTTCGAGCACGACTCCTTCCTCTAACTCGGTGGGTTCACATGGCATCACCAGCAGGTTTGGTAAGGTACGCGAAGGTGTCGATCGGTGGCACAACGCCGACGGGACGATCAGACACCGACTTCGTGAAGCCGCCGTGGGATCCGCCTCTTCCTCTACTACGCCGACAGATGAGACCCAGAACTCGGAGAATGATGCTGGGACAGGAGGCACAGACGAAGGAGCAACCCCTTTCACCATACAGGGAAATTGTCAACTTGAGTCGGGACCCGCAGTCAAAGGGGTGACTTTCTATGGAGAAAACTTCTATGTCCGTGCGAATTATTTGGATGGAGATGGAGGCAATGAGAGCTCGACCACGGCAGGAGACGACAACCACAGTGGCTCAGTGGCCGACACAGAGACAGACAATGATGGTGATCATAGCTCCTCGTCAAATACTACGAGCCAACCAGGTTTCTACCGCCATGGGGAATGGGTGCCTCGTGATAGAACTCCGTGGGAACAACGCCGTCACACAGGAGGCCGCGGACTTACTCGCACAAAGAAAAAGGATGCGAGATGTTGAATTACTTCCAAGGCAACTGGAAACCCGCATGGCTCGTCCAGTATGCTAAAGAGAAGCAGGCACGACAACAACGAGAACTTCCGCAAGTTCTTGAAGATGAGGAGACTGGAGATGTGGAACCAGCCGACCCTGTTCGACCTGCACAAGTTCAACAACATGATGATGCAATGTGGACAAACTCGAGCTGGTCGGATAGCGTTCCTCACCAGACTGTCTGGGGGTGGGATAACGGCTGGAACAGCGCGGAGTCATGGTCTTGGAATCAAGATGATTGGACTTCCTCTTCCACAGCGGGCGAGGACCACGGCTGGGAGGGCATCGTTACATGGGCCGTGGACAATGTGGCCTCACCGGCAAGCCATACCTCGTCATGGACATCTTGGTGGGATGAAGAAAGAGAGTTACCTGAGGAGGAGACAACCACAACGTCCACAAGCGTCTGGGGACCCAAGAAGTCGATGAGGGAATGGAATCTCACCACAACCTCTACGAGCACATCGGGATGCACTTGTTGGGCAGGAACATGGTGGACTACGTCGTCGACTTCCACAACTTCTTCGACAACCCCGGCGTCCTCTTCGGTGGCCCCGATGGACCCTTTTCCTAACCCATGGGAGGATATTTGGTGGCTTCAAACCTTGACAACCACTAGCACGACGACGATAGGAGATGGCCATGCTCCTCCCAACTTTGGACTGTTTCCCGATGTACGAGACGTCCCATTGGGAAATGATGACGAACTGATGGCCATCACGAACAGTGAAATGGCGATGTTGCAGGAAGCGGGTATACCTCAGGCCCAGCGGGTGCGCATCGCGAACCTACTTGCAACTCTCGATGAACAGCAACGACAAGGTCGAGGCCCTGAAAGTCGATGGTCACTTGGGAGGCTACTTCAAAGAGCGGAAGATGGGTTGGAGGCAATGCAAGTGGTACATCGAGTACTTCGTCGTCGTTTGGTTCCACGAGGCGTTCTTCCTGTTCAGCGAGTCCCGCGACAAGAACATGACAAATGGCGAATGTTTATGTGGGGTCGACAATTTACATCGATCTTCACGGATGGTATGGATGCACACCTCCTGGTACCTCTTCAACCTGGGGAAAACGAGGGCATCCTGGGCGATTCGCCTTCCTCCGAACCACCACCCACAACTCGTCGACGGAGTCGGAGACGTTCAACCGATGGACGCAGGAACAGTCGTGACCGCTCTGCTTCGACAACTGAGCGTGCACGCTCGCGAAGTATGCCCAGAAGTTCGTCTTCGACACAGTCTGTGTGGGATAGTGAATATGGTCTCAACTCGGACCATGAGCTTGTGGTCGTTCCACCCGCAGAGCCTGGAGCAGCAGCTAATGGTCCGCCACCACCTGTGCCCGTGGGCTTTGAGCCGATGGGTATTTGGCTTTCACCTACGGGGTCGGCTGACACACCAGGTGAACCAGAGAGTGTGGTTAATGCCTCCTCAGTTGCTGATACAACCACGACCACTTCGTCCGTCGGGGAAACAGGAAATCAGGAATTGGATGCCAGGAGGATGACATCTACTTCCACAACTTCGATGGTGTTGGGAAATCTCTCCGTGCACCTGAGCTCATCGTTGGATGCATGGGATGAGCTGGCTTGTATATGGTCTTCAACCACCACAACGACATCGTCGTCCTCAGCCCCTCCGGAACGACTTCTCTGGCCAAGCGACGTCATCAGGGATGTGGTTAACACGAATCTGATACATGGTGGCCAACTCGATGTCTTGGAGTTTGTCAGGCACATACTGGATCGCTTACGAAGACTACGACATGAGGCGGCTTTGCTTCAGGAAGCAGTGGAGGAGGCACTCACGTGGGTTCAGACACCACTGACTGAAGAGCCTTTGAATGCGCATCAAGTTGCCTTGGAAGTATTATCTGCAGTCCAACGTGAAGCTCAGTTTGGATCAGGGCCGAGCTCTTCGCACTCCTCCACGTGGGCCAACAACCCTTCCGTCATGCTCATGCCCGGCTTCCCCGAGAATTTGGAGGAGCTGTGGAGGACACTACCGGACTTCCAAGCACACACTGTGCAAGGATACCGACGGCGAGCCTGGCGTGAGGCCCTACGCCGAACCTATCGAGCCGAGGGTCTCGAACCCCCAGAAGGAATGTGGCCGCCTGAGGATGACCGAAGATTGTACATTGTCCAACGTGATCCCAATGTGGCCATCCCCAACTGGCCAGTTGGATCGACCAGACCCGAAGTACCTGATCGAGATCGAGTACGTGGAATCCGTGGACGACGACGACATCGCACAGCACGACCCCGTCCTCGATTGGTCAACCCGAACGTCAACCCTGCCATGGAGCTGGTGCAAAACGGACAGGTAGTGAATGCTACGTTTGCTGTGCATGCTCCGACCTCGGCATCTTCCAGTGGACATAGTGGTCGAGATGATCGAGGTGCACATCTAGGACCTCCTGCTCGATGGGAAGATTTGGGAGATTGGGAACCTTCTGATGGACCTGTACCTGCTGTACTACCGACTCGTCAACCGGGAGGTGAATCACGAGGGGACTTGAGACGGCGTAGGAGTGCATCTGCTCGAGAAAGAAGCAGAAGTCGTGATAGTGTGTAGCTGCTCCATGTAACCAGATTGTGCAGCTTGGTTTCCTAAGGATGGTAAGCGTCCCAGGTTGCCAGGCTGAGGTTGGTAGTGCAGGCCCCGTAGGTGTGGCAGGCCTCTTCTCGCGACCGCACAGAAAGAAGCCATTGCACTTTAAAAAAAAAAAACCCTAAACCCTGAACCCTAAACCCTAAACTTTAAACCCTAAACCCTAAACCCTAAACCCCTAAACCCCTAAACCCTTAACCCTTAACCCTAAACCCTAAACCCCTAAACCCTAAACCCTAAACCGTTCATGGCCCTCACGAGCCTCGTAGATTTTGGGGGTTCCTTTGAATAGGATCCTAGTATCTACTTAAAGGATCATGGGACTTAGTAACTAGGGTTATACTTTAAAGGGCTCTCTTGAAGGGATCTGTAGCGGTTCTATGATAAGAGGGGCTTTTAGGATTTACTTATATAAAGGATCATGGGACTTGGCAACTAGGGTGATAATTAGGATATCTATACTTCTAACACCAATTAAGGTGCTTATAACCTTACTTACTACGTCCCACGATCCTCCGAGTAGGGTCTTATAACAGGGTCCCCTATTAGCCCCAAGATGAGCCCCAACCTCCCCTTTGCTCCTCTCAACAAAACCAAGCGCTAGTTTCGCATCCCCGAACCCCAGACCCCTGAACCCTTAAATCCCACACGCAAGCGCTTGGATCGACCCTCAGATATTTAAGATTCGACTCCCTAACAAAGAAGCCTGACCAGTTGCTAAAAGATCGACTATGCCCCGAAACCCTTTCGATTTATGCAGGCGCGTATACTAAGTCCTTGTTGCTTGTTCCAATTATTAAGGCCCCTATGTTAAACCCTTTCCTCAGGAGCCCACCGTGGCCTCCCAGAAGTTGGCGAGGACGGTTCGGGGTGTGCTCGCTTGGAGGATCATGGGACTTAGGAACTAGGGCTGTGCTTTAAAGGGCTCCTTAAAGGGATCTATAAGAGTTCTACTCTAAAGGATCATGGGACTTAGAAACTAGGGATATACTTGGGGAAACTATACTTAAAATTCCAGTTCTCGGAGTTCGCGATGTAATTATGCTAGGATGCGCAGCTTCGCCTGTGGTTCACTTAACGGTAGCCGGTAGCCGAAGAACCACAAGTCTTGAACTCACCCGATCCCTGAGCCGTAGACTGCCGAAGCTGAAGCGACTCACCAAAAACGGACGACTAAACTTGGAAGTCTACCGTGTAATATGGGCGCCTTAATAATTACTTATAATATGTTGCTCTATTTTGGGGGTTCCACATTATAATTATATAAATGTTATAGTACACCCCAAAACCCTATTCTAATTGCAAAGGCCCCTATATTAACAGCCTCATTCCCTGGAAACTTAAGCGTGAGATGACCGTTAAAGCGGCATTGGACTCTACATGCGATCTTGCAATGCCTGTTGCCTTTGAGTTCCAAAAAAGGCGACGTCGAAGGGGCCGCTTGTGGTCGGAACCCGGCGAGGCACTGTCGTGGCCAGATTTGCCGATTGAGGCCCACACGGCCGGAGATCTTCTTGCACGAGGGCCTGAGGTTTTCCAGCTCACACGGGTCACCGGGACCGCTTCAAGGATCGTGGGACTTAGTAAGTAAGGTTATAAGTACCTTAATTGGGGTTATAAGTATACTTACCCCAATTATAGCCCTAGTTACTAAGTCCCACGATCCTTTAAGCGAGGTCTATTTCATGGAGACCATTCTCTTGGTCCGACCCGACAAGCAAAAGGCCGGACTCAAGAAACGGAAAACGTCACTCCAGGAGTTTAACGTGCCTGCAAAGCAGGTGCATGAGTGGATCTGGCAGGAGGGCTATGCGCAATGTGATGACGCTGAAGACGACTTCTCTGCCGTGCTCCGTATGATGGAGCTGAGTTCCCTAAACCCTAAACCCTAAACCCTAAACCCTAGTTCATCAACCCGAACACCTTCTATGTCGTTCCTGTGCAGAGGCCCCCCCCCCCCCTAGAACTTAACTCTGAAGGTTTCAGCCCGTAGCTCCCCAAACCCGAAGCCCTAAACCCTTAAAGGGAACTCCAGAAAGTTGGAATATTGTTTCAGGGTAGGCTACCCTACCATAAAGGGCGTAGGATAATCATATTCCAACTTTCTGGCTTTTACTCTAATGTTAAATTTTACTTCCTGAACCCCGGAGCTGTACATTCTGTATATGCACATGTTACAGATCACCCTGCCACAAAGAAGCTAAGCTCTCCAAGCTCCAAACCTCTAAACCCCCCTAGGCTCTAAACCCTAAACCCGAAAAACCCTAAATTCAAACCCCAAACCTCAAACCCTAAACCCCCTCTCCGCAGCTGCGAGCTGGGAGGTCCGGAGAAGGCTTGGAGTCCGTTTTCCGGCAACCGGCCTCCTGCCATCGATAGTGATGGGTTCCTTCCAAGGGTACTATAGGGGCTCCTTTGCGGGATCCTTAGGGGTTCAGGGGTTTATCGGGTTTCAGGGAGTTTAGAGTTTAGGGTATAGGGTTTCAGGTATAGGGGTTTATAGGGTTTCAGGCCTTAGGGTGTAAAGGGCTATGGTGTCTTCAGCCTAATATGGGGTCGCTTTATTTACTAATCAACAGACGTCCATTACAATCCCGATTTTGAGTGTGAGTAGAATATACCCCAAACCCCCCTCTTCTAGTTATGAAGGCACCTGTATTAAGTTTCTGCCAAACGCAGCTCTGCCCAGTGCTTGGCTGAAGCGCGAAGCGTAAAATGCAATGCTCAAAAGCCAACCTCACGGCCTCGGCGTGCAAGAAGGAAAGCCTTTAACGGGGTACTGTAGGGTTCTATCCCTAAACCCTAAACCCTAAACCCTAAACCCTAAACCCTAAAACCCTAAACTCAAAAGCTTAAGCCTGAATGCTCAGCTTAAGCCTTATTACGCACAGGAGCGTACTACACCTTGTTCGGGAAGGAAACGAAAGACATTCTAGTCTATACGAGGTAAATGGTAATTATAGACATAATTACTTCCATTTACTAGTAAGCTCATAACTGATTGCAAGTATTCCGTGATATATAGAGTTATATATAACCCTAAACCGGTGTTTCTAACCATCGGATCCCTCGAGTGCTCGTGTGTGCCCAAGCAGGTCGGGGCCACATTCTGCAGCAAAACAGGGCCGATCTTTTCGTGCGCCTGCTCTAAACCATCTTTTCATGCGGCCGCTCTTAGCCACCTACCTCATCCCTAAACCGGTTTTCTAAATTTAAGTCGCGCTTGTCCTTTTCGGTAAAGGACAACCAGCTCTAAAATCAAGGTTTTCTTCATTTAGTCGCGCTTGTCCTCTTCGGAAAAGGACAACCAGCTCTAAATTTTAGATTTTCCACATTCTGCCTCCAGAATTCTGGAAAATTGCTGGTGGTTTTCAAGTGACAAATTCTGTTCATAAAATGTGCCTTTTAGACTACGCCGGCTGCGAAACTCGAGGTGCCCCCCTTTCTTTTCGTGTGGCTGCTCTTAGCCGCCTTCCCCATCCCTAAACTCCGTCCCTCGGAGCTCGGATCAAAAAATGGACCCTCGAGTGCTCGTGTGTGCCCAAGCAGGTCGGGGCCACATTCTGCAGCAAAACAGGGCCGTTCTTTTCGTGTGGCTGCTCTTAGCCGCCTTCCCATCCCTAAACTCCGTCCCTCGGAGCTCGGATCAAAAAATGGACCCTCGAGTGCTCGTGTGTGCCCAAGCAGGTCGGGGCCACATTCTGCAGCAAAACAGGGCCATTCTTTTCGTGTGGCTGCTCTTAGCCGCCTTCCCCATCCCTAAACTCCGTCCCTCGGAGCTCGGATCAAAAAATGGACCCTCGAGTGCTCGTGTGTGCCCAAGCAGGTCGGGGCCACATTCTGCAGCAAAACAGGGCCGTTCTTTTCGTGTGGCTGCTCTTAGCCGCCTTCCCAATCCCTAAACTCCGTCCCTCGGAGCTCGGATCAGAAAATGGACCCTCGAGTGCTCGTGTGTGCCCAAGCAGGTCGGGGCCACATTCTGCAGCAAAACAGGGCCGTTCTTTTCGTGTGCCTGCTCTAAACCATCCGGTGCCTATGGGTGCCCAAAGCGGCCAAAGCCACATTCTGCAGCAAAACAGAGCCGTTCCTTTCGTGTGCCAGCTCTAAAATCGAGAATTTCTACATTTAGTCGCGCTTGTCCTTTTCGGAAAAGGACAACTAGCTCTTAAATCCCAGATTTTCCACATTCCTGCCTCCGAAAATTTGGAAAATTTCTGGTGATTTTCAAGTGACAAATTCTGTTCATAAAATGTGCCTTTTAGACTACGCCGGCTGCGAATCTCGAGGTGCCCCCCTTTCTTTTCGTGTGGCTGCTCCTAGCCGCCTTCCCCATCCCTAAACTCCGTCCCTCGGAGCTCGGATCAAAAAATGGACCCTCGAGTGCTCGTGTGTGCCCAAGCAGGTCGGGGCCACATTCTGCAGCAAAACAGGGCCGTTCTTTTCGTGTGACTGCTCTTAGCCGCCTTCCCAATCCCTAAACTCCGTCCCTCGGAGCTCGGATCAGAAAATGGACCCTCGAGTGCTCGTGTGTGCCCAAGCAGGTCGGGGCCACATTCTGCAGCAAAACAGGGCCGTTCTTTTCGTGTGGCTGCTCTTAGCCGCCTTCCCAATCCCTAAACTCCGTCCCTCGGAGCTCGGATCAGAAAATGGACCCTCGAGTGCTCGTGTGTGCCCAAGCAAGTCGGGGCCACATTCTGCAGCAAAACAGGGCCGTTCTTTTCGTGTGCCTGCTCTAAACCATCCGGTGCCTATGGGTGCCCAAAGCGGCCGAAGCCACATTCTGCAGCAAAACACGGCCTTTCTTTTCGTGTGGCTGCTTTAGACTTTGCCTTGACCTTCGGCGATTGGAAAACTGGTGCTGATTTTGGTGTACCAAATTCTGGTCATAAAATGTGCTTCTTAATGCAGGGCAGGTGCGAATCTCGAGGTTTCCTCCTTTCTTTTCTTAGAGTTGTCATCGCCGCCGTAACGGTGGAAAGACTGTCCGCCTCCCTGTAGCTGCATGGGTATTTCCTTCGTGTTGGACGCTTAAGGACTTAAGCTAAGGACAAATGCTCCGGGTGGGTTGTGGTGGGATCTATATCGAGGTCCACGGACGTGACGAACTCTCTTACGCAAAAAAACTCTGACGTCCGTCCTACATTCTTTTTACCGCAACAGTTTGGTCGACACACCCTAAACCCTAAACCCTAAACCCTAAACCCTAAACCCTAAAACCCTAAAACCCTAAACCCTAAACCCTAAACTCTAAACCCTATACCCATAGGCTCCCTAGAAGTTCCTTTTTGGGATTACCTTGTAGGGTTCTAAATCAGCTTCTAAACATGAACCCCTAGAAGGAACTACTATGGAGCCTCTAGGCAATGGGGTCCCCTTTTAAAGGGTACTCCAGGGTTCTATATTCAGGGTTTAGGGTCTAGGGCTTCTGCTCCAAGTCTCTCTAGTCGTGCATTCATGCAGCCGGCAGCCCTTCAATCGACAAGTCAACAGCATCGGCTTTTCTTGGCTCTGGGCGCAGCGACTCATTATGTTGCTTCAGGTAAGGCAGCCCCCGGAAAGGATACCTGAAGCATGCCCGAGCGAAGGCAAAGTTTGAGAAACGAAGGGTCCCCATGAACCTCATAAGCAGATCCTGCATCGACCACCGGACAAAACACCAGCAGCTTGCAGAAACCCAAGCTGAATGTCAACCTCAAGCAGTCAGGTCTCGAGACCCTACACCTCAACCCCTCATATTGAAGCCTAAACAGTTACCTATACTGTTTTAGGCGGTCCTTATTTAATATGTACCGCGAAACCCTATTCTCATCATTAAGGCGCCTACACTACACCTCAACTGCGCAAAGGTTGAGGCGTACGCTGAACGCCGGAGATCCTAAGCCGAAAGCACTACCGCCAACCCCGGAACCTTGAAAACATACTATAGGGCCCTAAATCATTACCTATACCAATTTCGGGGTTCCTTGTTGTAAGTATAGTCGAATGGGCCCCAGAACCCAAACTGATTGTTAATTAAGGCCCTTATACTCGAGTAACGACCCAGGTCCTCAGCCAGACGCTCGCAACAGCTACCTATATGAAGTCATGGGGTTGAGGGCCTTTTGTATTCAGAGCTCCAGGCCTTTAGTACGGATTCAGGGTGCAGGGCTTGGGGGTTTTATGCTTCAAGGGTTCTTGGGCGTTGGTCCAGGAGGTCCTCGAAAGTTTGGAGGCTTGGAGTTTAGGCTTGCTTTAGGGTTTGGAATGTAGGATTCAGGGCTTGAGGTGGAGGTCAGCTTCTAAGGCTCTTAGACTTAACGCTGCGTCTTGTGAGCGTGTACCGTTGCTTTGAGGCTTCGGGCTTTCGGAACCCAGGGTTGGGATTGGAGCTTTTGGGTTTAGGCTCCCGTTCTGTTTCTTCTTGTTGTCGTTTATACTTGGTGGATCGTGGGACTTCGTAAGTAAGATTATAAGTACCTTAATTGGGGTTATAAGTATAGTTACCCTAATTATAACCGTAGTTACTATGTCCCATGATCCTTTAAGTAGACCCTATACTGTAATTATAACCCTAGCTACCAAGTCCCATGATCCTTTAAGTCTTGTTTGTGGGGTGCCGCCTCATGGCAGCTCTTGCGAAAGCTACGAGATACGGGTTCCTCTCCTCCCTCCGGCTCAGGCCCCGATGCCCCTTTAAAGAAGCTTGAAAGAAAGCGAAAAGGGAGGCTTAAAGGGATTAAATGTTATTCAAAATAGGTAGTCCCCTATGCATTTCCGAACTATCTGAGGGGGATTTTGGGTTGAGGCTGGACAAACTGTAGAGATACCGGCTGTTATCATCATTTCGCGGCTTAGAATCCCTGTCCGTGACCTCTAAGGCAATTCGCACGCAGATGTGTACGTGCATACCACATATGTTTTTGTGTGCATGTCTACAATTACACATGAATACATATGTGGGCATGCGCGCGCAAGCATGCCTGTACACATACCTACAAGCGTACATACACATACGAGTGAATTTTGGCCCAGATGGTTTGCTGGTTTGCAGTCGCCACTGGATACTACGGCCTCTCCTATGCCTCAGGCCGGCATGGTCAAGAAAGCTTTGGGCTGCTTCAACGTGAGATTTCAGAACTGTTTCTCCGTGGCATAGCAATGGGTATAGAGTTATAGGTATCTACACATGTGGAGATAAACAGCTCAATAACAAAATAACTAAGTAAACATTTACATAACGATTAACAATGAAACAAATAATGTGTGTGTATATATATATATATAGATATTATGTATTGAGAGAGAGAGAGACTAATATGTAGAGACAGAGATGGGCCCACAAAGAACGAAACAAAGAAAACACACACACACGCACAAATAAATACATAACGAACGAAAGAAATCAATTACTAAAGAAAGAAAGAACGGGGTGGCGCAGGCGTGCATGAGTAATGAATGAGAGACATAAACGAATGAAGCATTTAAACACACAAAGCAAACAAATAAAGAGATAACGAAATACAGTAGTGCACTAAAGAAAGAATCAAAAAGACATAAAGAAGTACCGACATACACAAATCCTGATACGACAATAAAGAAATCAATGCGGAACGATAGAAAAAGGACGGAATGATGACTTAACTAAGTAAAGAGAGACAGAACGGAGTGACTGAATAATCAAAGAGAGAAAGAACATAAACAAGAACGAAAGACAGACAGGACTTAAGAAAGCCTGACGGAGAGAGGGGCAGAGAGAGACCCACATGTGTAACTATGTTACAGAAACTTGCCCTGGAATCCCAACCAGCCCAGATCGATGAGCAGAGTCAGGATGACGATGCTGATTACGGTAATCGGATGTCGAGATTGACAATGTGCCCATGTATTCAGCTTTTATTACTGCTGCTACGGCTGCTGCGGCTGACTCCGCTGCTGCTACTCGTACTCCCACTCCCACTCCGACCACCGCTACCAGTGCCACTGTGGCTGCTGCTGCGGCTGCTGCTGCTGCTGCTGCTGCTGCTGTTGCTGCTGCTGCTGCTAGCCTTGTACCGCAACCACCGCCAGCCCCTGCAGGCAATCTGGCTCCAGACCTCTATCTGCAGATGGGGCTCCTGTCCTTGGTGGATATCTGCTGCTACGGCTCCGCCAAGTTCATCGTTGACGCATGGATGATTTTTACAGCTTCAGGGTTGGTTTTGCGACTTTCCAGTGAAGCACCGATTGCAGCAGAACCGTCTTGGAGGTTCATGGGTAGTTATAAGTAGGGTTATAAGTAGGGTAACTCTACTTATAACCCATATTAGTAACGTATTATAACCCCACTTCTAACTACCCATGAACCTCCAAGTAGCCCCTGAACCCTATACCCTTATAGAATCCCTACAGATCGTTTTAAAGGGACCCTGAAAAAACCCTTATAACCACCCATGAATCTCCAAGTTCCGATGCACAACCTAATATAGGGGCCGAAAATAATTACCAATGCTATTGTGGGGGTGCCTTATTATAATAGTGGACCCCAAAGCCCTGTTCTAATCATCAAGGCCCCTATATTACAGACCTCTGAACTGAATTCCAAGGAGATGTTCTTTGGTTCGCGCTGATCTAGAGCACGATCGAATGACTAACGTATGTCTACTTTTGCATACAGATCGTTGACATTATCCTATGTACTCTCATATTTTATACTTACTACTAGTTACTATATGCACATGTACATCGCAGTGTATCGCTCAGACTGCAAGCTTCGGGTTGAGACATGTGGATGTTCCCGGCCCATGCCCGAAGCCGGGCTTAGATTCGGAGCGGCCAGGCTTAATGCAAAATGCCTTGATCGCAAAACCATGTCACCCAGGACCTGATGGGGCCCAAGACAGCGCAGATGACCGCCTTGGCAGGCATCAGCTTAATAGAACAGGGTTTTGGAGGTGTAGATTATACTACATAAGGATACCTAAGGAGCACCTAGCACTGTCTATTCAGGCTTCTGCATTAGGCCAAGATGAAGCTTGCCATTTTCTTTGGAATGCTTGGCATTCTCGTGTTGACAGTGCTTATGCTATGCTTTTGCTAGAGCAGTCTTGTCCCCTCTTCGTGCCACTGCTACTATGATCTTTTCGTTCATGGGAAACTCTCCGAGGTCCTTCATTCAGACTTCAAGCTTCGCCTACTATAGGGGCCCAAATAATGACCAAAGCGACTAGAATAGGGTTCCTCTAGAAGGGCTACTATAAGGGCCACTGTATATGGGTTTCGTATAGGGGCCCAAACGATTACCAAAACTATTTTGGGGGTTCCTTATTGTAATTCGAATAATAAAATCGCCCCAAAACCCTATTCTAATTGTTAAGGCCGTTATATTGCATCTCAGAAATTTTAGTCCTGCAGACTGCAGACCCTGTGTTTGGCCCCTGTTTCGTTGTTGAAGCCTACAGATCATACCGTAGTGGGTATCATTTCTGAAGCTCTACTATTTTGGCAGTCGGGTTGCTGGAAGTAAGAGTTATTAGAATATTGTCGACACCGCATTACGGGGTGTTGGGGTTGGTGCCGAAGGTTCGAAGTTGCTGGCGTTCATGGTTTCAGACCGATCGCGAGGGCTTAGACTGGCGTCGAGGTACACATACATTCGCGATTTGAGCGGGTTTCCTTCAGTTTCATCTACTTGCCAAGGTCCAGCCCGTAACCTCCGGCGTTTGCGCAGTAGAGAAGTGCATCTGAGGTCGTTGTCATTCGTCTAAGTCGATGAGAAATCATATTTCGGATTTTGGGGTGTAGGGTTTAGAGCGTTAAGCGAGAAGTGGTGCTCCAACTCCGTCCCCACATGAAAGGAGCATCTGCAGCGCTGCTCCTATGCATCTTGGATGCACATAGGGCCTAGGGTCTTTAAGCCATGGGCTTCGGATGTAGGTGGTACACATCTGCTTAATTGGTAGTAGCAATCCCTCATCGTCCCTACATGTTTTGTTGGGACACCACCGAAGCCCCATTCAAACTGCTGAGGCCCCTGTACGATTTGGATTTGGGTACTACGACCACATCGTTGGGAAAGGTTCTTTTGAGTTGACCTCTTCAGCCGAGCAAGGAATTCCTCATCGCCGGCTACCCTTTTTGTGAAAACTGTAAGATAAGGATCGATGTAAAGGTTCCTTATAAGGGTTCCTCTTGAGGGGTTTCTGCAACGGGCTTTCCGGGTTTTATTATGAGATCCGTCGAATTACCACAGCTATGCCTCAGGGCTCCGGGAACCCACATCTAATGAGGATGATCCCTATACTGTAGAAGACCTTGAGCATTGAAGAGCACCTACAAGAACTCCGTGTAAACCCCCAAAGCCTTGAAGCTTGTTACACAAAAGCCCGTCCCACGCCCCCCAAAACCCCCCTGTCCTTTCCGAGGCGCGGTGCTGCAAGAGAAATCATGGCCTCGTGGATTTGTTTTTTTTGTTTAAATTAGGTTTTTACCTAATTCATTAAGTTTTTACCTATTTCGGTGTCAGGGCTGCAGAGCCTGAATTATTCAGGGTAGGGGCCCCAGCGTGAGGTTTGAAGTGACGCATCTAAACCCAACACCCTAAAACCTAGATCGGGTTTGCTTAGAAGGTGCTGGGCTCTGCCTTCACTTAAGTGCCCTCGGGTTAAGGGCTTCAGGGGTTCGGGCTTCAGGAGGGTCGCTGTCGGTAGTTTGCGCAGAGCCGTTCCTCAAAGTCTCAGACGGTAAGGGATCCTGGCAGAGACCTCGCACAGTAAGACCCTCATCCTGGCAGTAGTATCTAATCCTTCCGATTTCCATGACGCCAAAGCTCTGCCAGAACTGTTACGGCCTCTATATTCGTGTTTTAGATTTACGGCTAAAGCAAGGTTCGATGCAGCTCTGCCGCGATGTCTTTTTTAGAGCGGGCCCGAAGCCCCTAAGCCTGACTAAGATGGTTTATCCCAAAGTCCGTAAACCCTAAACCCCAAACCCCCAAACCCCTAAACCCCTAAACCCCTAAACCCCTAAACCCCTAAACCCTTAACCCTAAACCCTAGACCCTAAACCCTATGCCCTAAACCCTAAACCCTAAACCCCTAAACCCCTAAACCCTAAAACCCTAAACCCCTAAACCCCTAAACCCTTAACCCTAAACCCTAAACCCTAAACCCTATGCCCTAAACCCTAAACCCTAAACCCCTAAACCCCTAAACCCCTAGACCCTAAACCCTATACCCTAAACCCTAAACCCCTAAACCCTTAACCCTAGACCCTAAACCCTATGCCCTAAACCCTAAACCCCTAAACCCTAAAACCCTAAAACCCTAAACCCCTAAACCCTTAACCCTAGACCCTAGACCCTAAACCCTAAACCCTAAACCCTATGCCCTAAACCTCTCTACCTATAGTAATTTAAACCTTAATGACTTCGTGGTCTTTGCATCAAAACTCGTGGTCTTTGGATCAAAACTCGTGGTCTTTGGATCAAAACTCGTGGTTTTGGATCAAAACTCGTGGCCCATGGATCAAAACTCGTGGTTTTGGATCAAAACTCGTGGCCCATGGATCAAAACTCGTGGCCTTTGGATCAAAACTCGTGGCCTTTGGATAAAACTCGTGGCCTTTGGATCAAAACTCGTGGCCTTTGGATCAAAACTCGTGGCCTTTGGATCAAAACTCGTGGCCTTTGGATAAAACTCGTGGCCTTTGGATCAAAACTCGTGGCCTTTGGATAAAACTCGTGGCCTTTGGATCAAAACTCGTGGGCTTTGGATCAAAACTCGTGGCCTTTGGACTTTTCCCAGTGTTTAGCGGCCGCGGGTTTAGGGGTCCCTAGGGTTTAGCGCCTGGGGTTTAGGCCCTAGGGTTTAGGGCTTAGGGTTTGGGCGCTAGGGTTTAGGGCCTCGGGTTTAGGGCCTAGGGCTTGGGACCTAGGGTTTAGGGCCTAGGGTTTGGGCCTTAGGGTTTAGGCTGTCGGGGTTTAGGCTGTAGCGTTTAGGGCCTAGGGTTTAGGGCCTGGGGTTGGGCCGTAGGGTTTAGGGCCTAGGGTTTGGGCACGAGGGTTTAGGGCTTAGGGTTTGGGCGGGCCCTGGGGTTTCGGGCCTTGGGTTTGGGCACTAGGGTTTAGGGCCTAGGGTTTGGGAATTAGGTTTGGGGTCTAGGGTTTAGCGCCTAGGGTTGGTTTAGGGCCTAGGGTTTGGGCGCCAGGGTTTAGGGCCTAGGGTTTGGGCGCTAGGGTTTAGACCTAGGGTTTAGGGCCTAGGGTTTGGGCCTTAGGGTTTAGGCTGTAGCGTTTAGGGCCTAGGGTTTAGGGCCTAGGGTTTGGGCACTAGGGTTTAGGGCCTAGGCATTAGGGTTTAGGGCCTAGGGTTTGGGAACTAGGGTTTAGATATCGTCCTGCTACAGTCGATGCATAGCAGTAGACAAAACATTTAGGACATGAAATCAACTCCACGGCTGTGGCTGCTATAACAAACACGAACCGTATGAAAATTCTTGGAGTTGTATGTAAGTTATTATTTAATAATTCATGCCAAAAGAAATAAAACTTTTAATTCTAGTGTGAGGGGATTCTCTGGGCGGGTGGGGTTTCTTCTTGAAGATAGCTTGACTAAAATAAGCTTGACGTGAAATCTTCAAAGTCAGAGCTGCTGAACCCTAAACCCTAAACCCCTAAACCCCTAAACCCCTAAACCCTATACCCTAAACCCTAAACCCCTAAACCCTTAACCCTAGACCCTAAACCCTATGCCCTAAACCCTAAACCCCTAAACCCTAAAACCCTAAAACCCTAAACCCCTAAACCCCTAAACCCTTAACCCTAGACCCTAGACCCTAAACCCTAAACCCTAAACCCTATGCCCTAAACCCTAAACCCTAAACCCCTAAACCCCTAAACCCCTAGACCCTAAACCTCTCTACCTATAGTAATTTAAACCTTAATGACTTCGTGGTCTTTGCATCAAAACTCGTGGTCTTTGGATCAAAACTCGTGGTCTTTGGATCAAAACTCGTGGTTTTGGATCAAAACTCGTGGCCCATGGATCAAAACTCGTGGTTTTGGATCAAAACTCGTGGCCCATGGATCAAAACTCGTGGCCTTTGGATCAAAACTCGTGGCCTTTGGATCAAAACTCGTGGCCTTTGGATCAAAACTCGTGGCCTTTGGATCAAAACTCGTGGCCTTTGGATAAAACTCGTGGCCTTTGGCCTTTGGATCAAAACTCGTGGCCTTTGGATAAAACTCGTGGCCTTTGGATCAAAACTCGTGGGCTTTGGATCAAAACTCGTGGCCTTTGGACTTTTCCCAGTGTTTAGCGGCCGCGGGTTTAGGGGTCCCTAGGGTTTAGCGCCTGGGGTTTAGGCCCTAGGGTTTAGGGCTTAGGGTTTGGGCGCTAGGGTTTAGGGCCTCGGGTTTAGGGCCTAGGGCTTGGGACCTAGGGTTTAGGGCCTAGGGTTTGGGCCTTAGGGTTTAGGCTGTCGGGGTTTAGGCTGTAGCGTTTAGGGCCTAGGGTTTAGGGCCTGGGGTTGGGCCGTAGGGTTTAGGGCCTAGGGTTTGGGCACGAGGGTTTAGGGCTTAGGGTTTGGGCGGGCCCTGGGGTTTCGGGCCTTGGGTTTGGGCACTAGGGTTTAGGG